TGTGTATGCTTGGGGTATATCAACTTGGGTATGTGTGTACTTGGGATACGTCAGCTGGGGTATGTGTGTGCTTGGGGTACGTCAGCTTGGGTATGTGTGTGTGCTTGGGATACGTCAGCTTGGGCATGTGTGTGCTTGGGGTATATCAGCTTGGGTATGTGTGTGCTTGGGGTACGTCAGTTTGGGAATGTGTGTGCTTGGGTATATCAGCTTGGGTATGTGTGTGTGTGTTGGTAGACTCTGGGTACTTCTGTATGTGTGACTTGCATTTTACATCAAGGCTCTCTAGCCGCATGCTTTTTTTTATTTGTGTCATCTGCCGAGGATTGTGCTTATGTTGCTAATCTCTTAGATTAGATTAAGTTAGATTAGATTAGATTTTTTTCAGGTAAACGTACATACATTGAGTTACATAATGTTGGATTTAAAGATAGAGATAGTACATACAATACCTAAAGCCACTAGTACGCATAGCGTTAGGACCTGTGTGTGTGTATATATATTTTAGCCTTTATTTCTGTGTTGTATTTCTTTGAGTGTGTGTTAAATATACAAGAGCGTTCGGAATTATAATTCATTTTTCCATGTGATTATGTGTGTTATTTATTGTCTTAACCACCGCTATTGTTTTATTTGGTAATTTTATTATAGAAATTGGATTGGGTACTAAATACAGTCAAATGCTCAAGGATGTAGATCACCTCGAGCACCTCAGACGTCTAGCAAGCACTAAAGGTAGACGGTTTCCCTCTGGAATGTTACACTAAAGAGCTGGAAAAGGCAGTTGACTGCCCTTGAGTCTCTTGTTGTTTCTATGAGCTTAGAACCCACATCCTTGGGGAAGTCCTTGACGTTTCTTCCCCAGTGGCCAAGGTTATCAGTTCATTAACTTGGTTATTTCCCTGTAGATATCAGTGTCACTTGCTTAGCCAGCACTAAAGGTAATGTAGGCATCACCCGCAGTACATCAAACAAATATCGCATGCACTTATTTCTATCAAACACTATTTTCACACAAGTATTCTCACCTTTACCCCTCTCTGTTTGTTGTTTTAGATTTAGCTACTCAGAACGAAGTGTCCATGTAGCACGGGCTATGGTGAGCCCGTAACTTTTTTTTTTACCCCCCTTTTACCCCTGATTGATTGATTGATGAAGATTAAGCCACCCAAAAGGTGGCACGGGCATGAATAGCCCGTAAGTGGTGGCCCTTTTGAGCCATTACCAGTATCAAAAGCTGATACTGGAGATCTGTGGAGGTGCGACTGCACCCTGCGTGACGGGAGATGTCTCCTGGACCAAATGGTGACCAAATGGTGTTTTACCCCTGTTGTTGTTATAGATTCAGCTACTCGGAAGAAGTTCCAAGTAGCACGGGCTATGGTGAGCCCGTAACTTACCTGGCACAGGAGCGGTGCACCCCGTGATTTTACCCCTGATTGATTGATTGATGAAGATTAAGCCACCCAAGAGGTGGCACGGGCATGAATAGCCCGTAAGTGGTGGCCCTTTTGAGCCATTACCAGTATCAATAGATGATACTGGAGATCTGTGGAGGTGCAACTGCACCCTGCTTGACGGGAGATGTCTCCCGGACCAAATGGTGACCAGATGGTGGTTTTACCCCTCGGGACTCAGTCCATATATACACGCTCAACACCCAGGTGGCTATTCATGCCCGTGCCACCTCTTGGGTGGCTTAATCTTCATCAATCAATCATGGGACAAAGAAAAATAAAAGATCAGAGGTAAAATTCAGTCAGTCGGAAGCCATAATTTATTAACAAACGAACAAATCCACAAGGGCCGTGACGAGGGTTGGAACCTCCGTCCGAGAGGATCCCAGACGCTGCCTTAATCGACTGTAGTGTAGTGTCATAATTTATTAATTATTCAGCTACTCTGTACAAAATTTCCATGTAACACGGGCTATAGTGAGCCCGTAAATTGAGTTGCAGTTTTGTTCTTATTATATAGAGGCAACAGTACGCTTCCCTGTAGCCTATCTGGCCACTCTAATCTTACCATATCGTCCACTAAACATTATAGATTCTAGCCGCTCTGCCTCGCCCAGGCTACTGGCAAGTCATCGTTGCTCAGCAGCTTCGACAGCCCGCGGGACGCTGGTACTGACTCCATGTATGACTAACCGTCCTGTGAGATGGGGATATTAGAGATGAACTTGTAGCTAGTTCTTTTTTTTTTATCTAAACTCTGTAAGCTTTCGTACAGAATAGGCTTTCGTACAGAATAGGCTTTCGTACAGAATAGACTTTCGTACAGAATAAGGCGGGAGCATATGGCTGTCTACATCTAAGCTTGTGTTGTCATGGGCAGTTTTCTCACTTCCATCAGTTCTCAGAGCGGGCAGTCATTGATGCATCATATTGTTTGGTTTTGCATATTAGAAAAAATTACGTCTTGTGGTTAAAGTGAAAACATGAATGTTTTGTTGACGGAAGGACAAATTAAACTGGTATTGAAAATTAAACCGGTATTTCAATAAAGAAAACGTCTTTTACATAAGTAAAGTTGGAAGTGTTGGGAAGATTGTCGAAGCAGTTTACAATTCGTTGTGACCGATAAGGTGTTGGGTTAAGTCCGAGCAGTGATTTACAACCTGGGGCAAGCGTAACCCTATCAGGTGATTATATGTCCTAAGGTTGCTCTAGTGTACCTTAGGACATATAATACTTGTGCTGTTATAGTGTATAGGACATAGTGTACTTGTGCTGGCGGGGTTGAGCTTTGGCTCTTGGGTCCCGCCTCTCAACTGTCAATCAACTGGTGTACAGATTCCTGAGCCTACTGGGCTCTTATCATATCTACATTTGAAACTGTGTATGGAGTCAGCCTCCACCGCATCACTTCCTAGTGCATTCCATTTATTAACTACTAAATTAAATTAACTACCATTTATTACTGTGTATATGTCCCAAGGTTGCTCTAGTATGTATATGTCCCAAGGTCGCTCTAGTATGTATATGTTCCTAGGTTGCTCTCTTGACTGTGGTCACTATAAAGAGGATTTTAAACGTAAAAAATACTAGAACAACCTTGGAACCTATACAAACGAGCAACCTTGACTAATCAATTAGACCAATGTGATATGCGCAGTCGGATCGCAACCGAAAGGTCCCGAGTTCGATTCCCGCGGCAGGAGAAAAGAATTTGGGCAACGTTTCCCTGTCTGAGGCCTCGGTTCACCTAGCAGTAAATGAGTACCCAGGAGCTAGGCACCGTACTATTGTGGGTTGCATCCTGGACAAAATCAGTCGTAGGCCTTTCCCTAGTATGGGAGAGGGGTAGGGGACGGCCTCTATATGCCCAACAGACAGCCTGTCCCCCAACTATGAAACTACATAAAGTGACCTTACACACTAGAACAATCACCATTTGGTCCGAGAGACATCTCCCGTCACGCAGGGTGCAGTTGCGGCTCCACAGATCTCCAGTATCATCTTTTGATACTGGTAATGGCTCAAAAGGGCCACCACTTACGGGCTATTCATGCCCGTGCCACCTCTTGGGTGGCTTAATCTTCATCAATCAATCACTAGAACAACCTTGGAATTGAAACAAAGAAACGCAAAAGAGAGTGCATTATTCCATTATTACTACACAGCGTTATCGGCCCACTTGTATTTCCATAGGTACATCTATAAGCTTCATTGTACTGTCTCTCCAACTTCCACCATGTCCTCTGGTCCTATCTGCTTTCACTCTGAAAATGTTGTCCCTTTTCGCATATCGTCTCGGCATTTTCTGTAAGGGTAATTGTTAGATTGCGTTCCATTAAGTAACCTAACTGTCCCTGTCCTGATTTCGGGTACAAGCCTTAATTCTTGCCAATCTCTGGAATTTATAATCTTATTTTTGTTTCACGTTCGATGCCGATTCCATGCAAGTGGTTCGCTTTGTAGTGCCGCCCCAACGTATGCTGTGTAAATGTTCTTAAATTTTTGTTTAAGTCGTCAAAATCCATTTCTTACGTTCGGCGTTTTCTCTCCCCCTTCCCCCTCTCTCTCTCTAGGATATTTCGCAATGACCCTTTGTTTATGGTGTGTGTTTATTTTATTTATTTGTTTATTTATTTATTTATATACAAGAAGTACATTTGGTTTGTGAGAATACATAACATAGTATTTACAATCTTGTAAAGCCACTAGTACGCGCAGCGTTTCGGGCAAGAGTGTGTGTAGGAAGCAGTAAGCGTGTGTGTGTAGTAAGCAGACGATGAGTCACAATAACGTGGCTGAAGATATGATGAGCAAACCACACACGCGTCTACCATTGTCAAGTCGATTGTGATTGTGTATGATTGTATGTAGTAATTTGTCTTATGTATCCTGCGCTTTCCATTTTCGTTATTGCAGTGCGTCGCTGACGTCCTCTCCTTGAATAGCAAATCTGTAAATGGTTTACCCACGTACTACAAATGCAAATACAGCAATTGGCAACAGAACCTAAACATCAAATCTACGACTAACTATACTTGAATTTTATTGTATAATAATATTCATTTATATAAGAAATATATATATGGTCCTGGGGACCATTCAGGCTTGTTCGCATTTATATAAGAGAAGAAACCTGTTCCAGCGCCTCTGTGTCGCGATCCAGAGAGGAAATGCTTGCTGTATCTAGGGGACGCACCCCACACCAGAAGAGCTGAATGTGATTGTTATATGTATGTGTGCTTTCTGTAACACAATGTAATACAAAAGAAAACTATTTTTATTATGCAATATGTTAAAATTTGTGTCAAAGGGGTCGGATGTGCTTCTAACGAACCTGGCCTGAGGACGGGTTGTTTATCTTTATCCAGTGAGAAACCGTATTAAATGTTTTATATAATGTATAGAAGCATGAATTATGTTGGTTTTGGTTTAACATTTGCCATGCCTTTTGCCTGTGGAGTCATGCAGTATAAAGCCTTAAGGCAAGTATGGGTTGTGAACTGGTAACCATGACGAGGCGCGCGATGGTACGTTTCCGAGGGTGTCCTTGAAGACTTGCGACGCGTCGTCCCGCGGACTGCTATATTCTCCCATTAAGGGGGACATAGTCACACTTTCTTCTCCAAATTAGGATTGACAGGGCACCTACGTCTCAATCCCGTCGCTGGCCTTCATCCTCCCCACACCACCACCAACATGGCAACCTTGGCGAGAGGAGCGGTGGCGCCGCCGGCCTGGGGCTGCCTCACCAGGGCTGCCTTCACAAGGGTTCCGCTGTCAGTCCCTGCCACCACAGTCGTCAGTGGGACATGGCGACGCAGGTGCCTCGTTGCCTGTGGCTAACCACCCTCACCTCCACCAGGGACCTAGTACTAGGGTGTGGAGTAACTAGGCGCCTCCACGCTGGTTCCTCCACCAGACACAGAGTCCTCACCAGGAAGGTAGGCCTTACCTTGAGGTGCTTCCGGGGCTTAGCGTCTCCGCGGCCCGGTCGTCGACCAGGCCTCCTGGTTGCTGGACTGATCAACCAGGCTGTTGGACGCGACTGCTCGCAGCTTGACGTATGAGTCACAGCCTGGTTGATCAGGCCTAGTACATCTGCTTTTAGCGTCCTCACCAAGGCACTTTTATTATTATTATTATTATTAATACATGAGGTACATCTGCATTTGTGCAGCTACCCTAGACTATATAAAGTGGAGTACAGTGTGTCAAAAAAGCTAACTACGTGATGCTAAAAAATCCCCATTACACAGGATGGTTAGTCATACAGAGGCATGTGATAGGCAGTCTGCACTGGCAGACTCTAGATGCATTTTGAGGATATCATGAACTCAAGAGTGAATAAGGCAGCAGTGGTAATAAAAATCCCCATCTCGCAGTTAGATGGGAACTTTTAGTTAGTCATACAGGGCCATATGTTTAGTAGCCTGCACTGGCAAATTTTGGGTGCAATATGAGGATATCCTCAAGAATACGAGAGTGAATAAAGTAATTGCAAAGCTCTAGGTACCTCATGCCAACTGGTCTGAAAGGTCTAATAACTGGGCATTCAGTGATGTAGTGCAGGAGATCGTGCCACAGTTCCTGCTCACAGAGTTTGCAACTGGAGTGCTCAGGATTGGGAGATCCGTCACCTGCAGCCACCTACCACAGGTAACGGTAACCCAACCTGATCCTTGCAACCACTGTGTCGCACAGTCTGGTGGACATTATGTGCTGCCCATAGATATAGGTTTCAGATCTGAACAAATCATAACTTTTAATACTAGTACTTTCAGGTCGTTGGGAGTCAGTAATTTCTTTTCTATCAGACCTGAGTGTTTGGACCAATACAGTTTTGACAGTAGAGATGGGGATACCTAGATCTAATTCAACTTCATCTTTGTTGCACGCTAATTTGGCTGCAATGTCTGTCTCATTATGATGGGTTATACAGAGTATTTATGTGTGAAGGTATCCATAGAAGAGATTCGAGACCCTTTACTCTGTGCAGCAATTAGATCATTTATAATTGCTAGTATGAGGTTCTTGTTGTCGATCTTCCAGGAGAAGTTTTCGATTGCTTGAAGAGCAGACTTTGAATCACAAAATATTATTCCTCCTCCAATGTTTTTTAATGTACTGGTAGCTAGTTGGAATGCTGCTAGTTCTGCTTGTGTGGAGGTCAGCCAGTTGCTTAACCTGACACTGACAGTCTTTGTGCAAATATTATTTCAATAAAACCTACATGCTGCTGCAGTCCGTCCAGTAGAAGATTGGACTGAGCCGTTGGTGTAGACACAGTGCTCGTAAGATCTTAAATTCTCGATGGAGAAGGCAATTGTTTCGAGTGTGACAACTTTGAGAAGAGCAAGATTCTCACCAAGGCACTTGGAGCTTGTTGGTATGGTTCTTGACTCTCAGACGGGGATCTCTGGTCAACAACGATGTACATTAAGTAATTTAAATTAATTATAGCGTATGGTGGTCCATGGGTTGAAGCCTGCGTCTGGGGTGGCCCAGAACAGTGGTTTGATCCCCATCATGCCCCACTGATTTTTGTGTAGGCCTAATGCCTTTGATATGGGGGTCCTCATCTTGGAACATTGGCCTAGTATCTTTGTTACAGTACTCGCTCCAGAATGCCAACAAAGTTAGCATTGTTAAATGGGTACAGGGTGCATTTATTATGCACCCCATACCCATCCTGTCGGCAGTAGTGGAAAGGGTTACAGAGGCACATAATGGGATCAGTGTCTGAACCCCACAATTCATTTAGCTAAGCAAGTTAGTCGATAACAAAGTTCAAGTTACTTCCTACTCAAACTGGACTAGCAACGCTTTTTGCAGTCCCCGTGGTGTAGTGATAAGACACTCGCCTGGCGTTTCGCAAGCGCTTTGGCCTGGGTTCATATCCTTATTATCTTGAGGTTATTGAGATGATTTTGGGGCTTAGCATCCCCACGGCTCGTTCCTCGACCAGGCCTCCTTTTTGTTGCCCCCCCCCCACCAGGAAACAGCCCATAACAGCTGTCTAACTCCCAGGTACCTATTTACTGCTAGGTGAACAGGATCATCAGGAAGAAAAAAACTTTGGCCATTTGTTTCTGCCTCCACCGGGGATCGAACCCAGAACCTCAGGGCTATGAATCCTGAGCACTGTCCACTCGGCTGTCTGGCCCATTTTAATCCTGGCCTGGGAGGATTTAGTGAGTGCTAATCCTTAACTGTAACCACTGTTTACCCAACAGTAACATGGGTTGTTAAACGATTTGGCAGGTCGTAATTCGGGGACTATTAAGACTATGGACTTGCCCGAAATGTTATGTATGCTAGAGGCTGTACAAAAATGTAAAAACTCTTTATAATATAAATACAAGATTCTGCCCGAAACGCTGTGCGTACTAGTGGCTTTACAAGAATGTAATCACTATGCTATGTATCCTCACAATCCCAATGAACCTTTTTGTATATACAGTATATATAAATAAAACTAAAATGAAAATAAATAAATAAATATATTTAAACATCTTCCCCAATACACAGAAATATATATATGGTTTTAACAATTGAAAAATGCCCTTACTGTTGTTGAAAGGCTTGTGTACAATTTGACCATTCGTCATACTTTTATGTGGATGAAGTGTTAAAAAGTGAATATTGGGTACATTGCTGTCACCCATGCTGGATAAGTCGCATCATAACAATGATTCACAAACCGATTTAGAAGCCTACCTAACCTAGTGCAACACAGCTGAACGGAGCCCAGTACAGCCTAGCATAATGTATACGGTTTCAACAAAAAATGTGCTTCATCACTTTCAGGATCCCAGTATTACAGCTGGGTTCGTTCTCGACTCGCAATCGAGAATTACGGGTTTAAATACCAAGCGGGACAGGAAATGGTTGGGCACGTTTCCTATCATCTAATGACCCTGTCCACCTAGCAGTAAACAGGTACCCAGGAGTTAGTCGGCTTGTGGGGTTGCATACTGGGGAGGGTCAGTAATGTTACCTAGAAGGAGGGGGGGGCCTTGATACAAGCCTAACATGCACTGTATGTATAAATTGCCGGCCTGTCCCCAGACAAAGTGAATTATCGAATAGTCTTGTGGTACCCTCCCCCATGGTAGAGGTTTAAGTAGGAACACTAAAGTAGCCTCTGGCAAGCTTAATTTTGGGGCTAATAAGCACTGCCAGCTGGTATATTAACCTAAATTCATGGAGTTAGTCATGAAGGTGTGCATACTTGGTTAAGGGATAGTATAGTTGTAGACATTTTGACAGCTCATTTTCAGATTGTCAAAATCATGATCGTGTGGTTCCCGAACTGTCTACCAGCGATGTAAGGTGCTATTCATGCAGCCTTTCCTTATAACTTGTACCTCTTGAGTTCTGGGACAAGTAGAGTGGCATACCTCTGAATCTTCTGCAGCTTTGTCTTGTGCTTGACAATGTATGGACTCAATGCTGGAGCTGTATACTCCAGGATTGGTCTTATATATGTGGTATACAAGGTTTTAAATGAATCCTTAAACAACTTTCTAAAGTTGTGTAAGTATTCTAAACTGGTTAACATCAGTTCTGATGTTAGCCAGCCTCGCATATGTCTCTGAAGATATTCTTTTGATGTGGGCTTCAGGAGACGGGTTCCAGATTTACCTGATGGCCACTAACCCTAGTGACCTTGACGAGGACAGGAAGCCAACGGTTTGTCCAAAGTCACCCATTTGCTTTGATATTTTCCAGGTAGATTTTGAAACTTGACACAGTTTTGGTAGGTTCAGTATTACAGTATATCGAGTCTTGGCTCTTTCTCTGTCCATTTCGTGGAGGACTTCATCTCCTGCATATTCATTTTGGTCTTAAAAAGGTGAAACCATGTACAGTACTGTACTTAAAAGCAATTATGAAACTGGAAAGGGTAGCATATGCTCCTCGCAAAATGTTCTTTGTGGTCCTCATGCAAGTTTTCTATCTAGAACAACCTGTAGATCTTTATCAGAATTCATTAATTTTGATCTACATTAATTTTTCACATAATTTGTAGGTGTGTGGGGTTGTATTTTCTCCTATTTCACATTCCATGGCATGGCCTTTATTCACATTAAAATCCATTTGTCAAGTGTGGCTCCATACTTATTTTATCAGCATTCTTCCAGGTCTAGTAAGATCGTATCTTGACACTCTGTAGGTCTTGAGTAAATAGCCAAAATACCTCAAGTGCCCAAAGCAAGTGCACAGTCTCACAGGTGGGTGAACATGCTTGAACCAGGCATGTTGGTTACAGTGCCTAATATTATTAGAACGTAGGTTGATAGAATTGTAATATACATAATCATAATGTACTGTTATGTGGTTATAGCATACAGTACATACTGATTCTTCTCACAAAAAGTGATGTGATCGGCAGGTTCAGAGTTCTCGGTAGTGTCAGGCTCCCATGCATGCCAAAACTTTTTGTGGGCTTTTGAAACCATTGGAACAACAATATTTTTTCCCATTTAATCTATCTCTTTGCATTAGGATGGTTTTTGCTTTACATGATTTTTACTGGAATATTGACCCCCCTTGTTACTCACAAGATGCTCGTAGTAACACTTTTGTTCCTTTTGAAGAATTTAAGATAATGATTACAGACAAATAGCCAATATTGTACACGTCACTCTTGTACCGTGAGTTTTAAAACACGGTGCCTGTATTGTGATTACACAGGAACGTACGTATTTTCACTTAGTTTACTGTATGCCATCCATCAGTAGTGTACTTCTAATAACTGCTAATCATCTGTTTCAGGTATCCCGTTTAGAAACCCTCAGGTCCATCGAACCACTTCCATTTTCTGCATTCTTGACAGACCCATTTGGCCGAGAACATTCCTACCTTAGAATTTCTCTTACTGAAAAATGCAACCTAAGATGTAAGTTAACTTTATATTTCAGTATGAGAATTAATGTCTTTCTTAAGCCATCTTAGAAAGATGAACTGTGCCTGGCCAGGATGAAGCCAGAGGAAACTTCTGAGGTCCACGGTGATTCTGACATACAAATTGATCATCAGAGCTAGATATAGGGGTGAAATACTAATAAAGCCATCTAGTAGCTTGTTCAGTTCGAAGTTTCCCTCGGGATAGCTGGAATGTGAGGGATGAATTTCATCCGATATATGAAATGATTAGAGGCCTTGGGGGACAAAATGTCCTCAACCTATTTTCAAACCGAGTGAGGTGCCGAGCTTCCTAGAATGCTGAAGCTTCGGGCAACTAATCTGAGTATCTAATGGGCCATTTTGGTGAGCAGAACAGGCACTGTGTTTATCAAAATATTCCATATTTTGGGCACTATATTGTATTTATAATGTAGTAATGATTTATATATTTCATTAGTTTTATACCTACTTCCAGGTCGGTACTGTATGCCAGAGGAAGGGGTGAGCTTAACACAGAAAGAGAGTCTACTGACCTCGGAAGAAATTATTCGAGTGGCAAAGTTATTTGTATCGGAAGGGGTGGACAAGGTCAGGTTGACTGGAGGTGAACCCATGGTCAGGAAAGACTTGGCATACATCATTGGTATGTATTTTGAAACTGCTTTTGTTGTATATTTATTGATTTTGAAAGTCAGATGCATGCATTTGTTAGAGGAACTTTTTTTTTTGTTGATAAAACCTGTTATGTAATTAGTGTAGTGTTCTTACCGGTTTTTAATACAATATTTTGGCTAATATTTTATCAAGCATTTCCAAAACAAAAGATTTTCATGAAGATTGTGTAAGGAATTAATGATTAGTACTTTTCAGTGAAGTATGCAAGAAGGGAGAAAGACACTACAAATCTCAGGTAGAAAACTGAACATAAGTTTATTCTTGCATTCATCTTGTTCTGTAGTTCTGTTCTGTTCTGTTTAAAATTGCATAATGTCTATACCATTTAAATATACATTAGTAAGAAAAAACCTGTTCTGTTTTGCAATGACTGAACTGTCTTCCCAATTTTTGGCATGTGATTTAAAATTATCCGCACGTCTATTTGCTAAAGTTGTTTAGATGGATCATACCGAAACACATTTCAGGGTAAAAAAACACAATTGTCAATTATTGTTGGAGTTTAATCACAAGATAATCAGCAGATACATGTAAAATTGTTGCCTTGCCTGTGCAAGGGAAAAAAAATTTAATCTGTCTGTGCAAATCATTGAGTTTTGTGGATACTTTGGTACTTAATTTGCCAACATGTACATGGATGAGGGGGGGGGGGGGCTGACGTTCAAGCTTCTGTAGTATAATTCTTTGGTCGGTTTCACTTTAGTTTATAGTGTGTGGAATAACTTGATATATGTACACATTAAAAATAGGTTGAGCACTGTACAGTGTAACATGTACACCTGTATTGCACATAAATCTGATCATGATATAGCTCAAAGAAATTATGCTGTAACCCACTCCTTTTTTGGCAAGCTGTCTGGTAACATTGTCCAGAAGTATTCAAACACTGATGGGAAAGACCAAGTTGAGTTGTTGATAATTGCAGTGCACTTAACCCTTAAGCTGCGCGTGGCGTATACAGTACAGTATATACGACAGGACCCGATGGCGCCATAAGTTAAATGTCTCAAACTTGCTTTAACGCTTTCCAATTTTTTGTGCATAATCTACTAGGCAAACGCCGCAACTTTGTCTTGATGATCACCAACATAACTTGAAAAACAAGAAAATTAAAAATATTTAAAATTTAATATTGAAAATTTCAGATTTTTAGATCAGCGGCAAAAATATTAATTATCACCAATTGTTCATTAAGTGTTATTATGCTCTCAGAATAGTATATGATATTCATTTTAATAGAATTTGAATATAGATTTTCAGTTTAGTTTACTGTAAAAAAATCGTCAATATGGCATTTGAAATATGCACCAAATTCAGACAAAAAATTTATAACTCTAACTTATAAATTATAAACACAAAATTTATAACTCTAAACATTTAGGGCTTCTAAAAATCCATTCTAATACGATTGTAGAGCAGACAGCTGCGCACACTATATGTAAAAATGGTGAGAATCGGCCCGAAACTGGATCTTTTGAAGCCGACTCAAAGTTGAAACTCTAGTTTTAGAGATAATTGAAGTTGAAGTTAGCGACAATGTATAAAGTACAGTAGTTGTAAATCATTTATTTACTGTACTTGTATGTTTTAAAAAACATTGTTTGGCATTCGTGCTCGAATATGTTAACATCTTGTTGTTAATTCCGGTAAATTATTAAAATACGTACAATATTAAATATTAACTTTTTCTACATTACTGAATTAACAACAAGATGGAGTCTTGGAGTAGAGGGAGGGTGAAGGTGGGGTGGGGTGGGGGGGGGGTGAGACCAGCCTCTTGCTGGCGACCTGACCTGAAGCTGGTGTTGCCAGTCCTTACACGAGTCATCTGATCTTGAACTAAAGAGATTTGATTCTTTATTCATAAATGACATTAAATTAATCTACGTACTGGACAACAGAAGTTATTAATTAGTTACTTTAATACATGAATTTCTCAAAAGGGATAATTTAAATACAAGGAAAAGCTGGTGATCCTTACTTACACACCTCTGCTCTAATCTCTCAGGGATGAACCCTTTCCAACTTTCCAAGGCAGAACTATCACTCCACTGCATGTTTTGAACAAGGGCATATCCACACTACCTTCCATACAGTCACCTATCTTAAACAGCTTTGACTGTTACAGGTCAATTTGGGTTGGAAGAAGGTCAAGAAAAAATACCCCCCCCCCATTCAAAAACAAAATATAGGGATAATTATAATTATTTAGGGGGATAAAGATATATACTTTATATAAATGGATAAAGCCCTAATCACCAAAACAACCTAAAGAGACAAAGAAAATAGTTTTAAATTTGTGAAAAATCAGCCCCCCAACAATTCAAAGTCCTAAGTTCTGTCAGTTATGACAGAATTAAATTGGTCAACAAATAAATCAATCTTCACATACAGTAGTTAGGGACGGGTATACACTCGCCAGGTGTGTAGAGGTTACATTAAAATCAGATAATAAACAAAGAAGAAAAAATAAAGAAATAAAAAACTCCCCTTACAAAAAAAAAAATTGTGGACATTGGTGAAAGTAATAGATTACAACTGGACAATGTATTTGTATGATATATAACAAAATAGAGCATAATAACATACTTACTCATTATTATTGGTGTTATTATGTATTATTCAGCAATGCTATGAAGGCACCAGCTGCATATCCACTTTGTGGGCACTTCTAACTACTATTCTTCTTTGTGCCTCAGACATGTGCATGCATCTCTTTTATTACTGCATTATCCCTCAGTTCCAGTTAATTGGAGCCGTTCAATTTATCAACAAAACATTGTTCTTTAAAAAAAAAAGTCTATAATCCGTTTCTGAAAATATTGGGATGAAACTGTCACAACACTGAAGCCAATAAGTTGGAGATTTAACATTTAATATTAATTTTCACATAATTCAAATATTTATTCACCCAGCCCTGGCTTATACCCGCTATTTACAGCCCAGGCTGTATCAGTGCAAGGGTTAAGCATAACCTCATAACATAATAAGCAATTAAAAATTAATGTTATCATGGTCCATGATTAACTTGACAACCGTCTACATGTGCATTACAACCGTATTGACATTCGTATTAATATTGGACAACTAAAATTGTGATACAGCATTAATCACATCAGCTCAAAGATGGCTATTACAATAACCAGTCTTTAAGAGTTAAGCTTGATATGGATTGATTCTGCACCAGTGTTCTTTCATCGAATAGTGTTCTCCTGTACGAGATTGGTCTTCTACAAATCTGTTTGAAAATAAGTTGGAGATTTGTCTAACTTGAGCCCCTACTTCTAACTTTTCCCCATCTTTCACATGGTTACCTCTCCCTATTCTCTTCGCTTTTTTTTGTTTTTCTCCTCTGTACAGTGCGCATATTTGTTCCATGTTCAGCTTTAGTTTTCTCCCCTTCTTGTCTCCTAATATTTTCTGTCTTGTATATGATCTGAATTGTTACTAAACAAAATCCTACAGTTGAGAGCTTCACTATATTGTTTTCCCAATTCCAAAAGTTAATAGGTTGGCATGTACAGTAGGTAGTTAACCAGAACTCGCAAAGCTCTAATTTTATACATTTTGCAAAATTGAGGTTCTCTTATGCTCATGATTGTGTTTGATTAAAAATAATAAATTTAATTTATTAGCAAGTCTACATTAGCTATGCCAAGCCCAAAAATAAATATTTTAATACATTACTGTAATGGCAATTAAATTTCTTACTGTCTTCGCTCCTATTAAATTGGCGTCTTCTCTTTTTTATGAGGTTTCAGCAGGATGTTTTCTTTAATTGTTAAAAGTTGCTATGTCACTATACATATTCTGCAATAAATGTTTTCTTCATGCATACTATAGATTTTGAATATTCCAGAATATTTTGTTTGCAGAGTCAATATCTCGTCTTGGTGTCAAACAGTTGGGCATGACCACCAATGGCTTGTTATTGAAAAGACGTTTGGGTGAGCTTCAGAGTGCAGGACTCACTCACTTGAATATCTCCTTAGACACCCTCATCCCACAAAAGTTTGAGCTCATCACACGACGACGTGGATGGGAAAGGGTGATGGATGGGATTGATGTGGCTCTCGACTTGGGATACTCCCCTGTAAAGGTATTTTTGATTATCCATTTAGGCTGTATGTACTTTAATAAACTGGACTTTACACTGTTTGCAACATTGGCAAAAGCTGAAGGTAAACACTTTATGCTTGATTCTAGTTTGTGATCTACCAGGTGTGAATGTCTATAGTCCTCAAATGTTTTGAGAGGTTATTGATGTGTTATGGACACATCTTCAGTTATTTGTTATACATTGAAAGTAACAATTTTGTAGGTGAAATGGGAAAGAGGCAAACTGAGATATATATTGTCATTTGCTATTTCACTGTAGTCTTGAGGTCATTGGAATATGCCAGCTATGACTAGGGATCACTCATTATGAAGAAGGATGGTATTAGGAAGAGGGAGAAGGAAGCGTGGAGTCACACTTAACAAAAGGGAGAATTATGCAAAGTAACTTTTTTGAGCCATGATAACTTGAGCCACTATATGCTGTAGAGTAGAGTATGTTTCAGTAGACACTATATGCTGTATTTTTTGAGCCACGAAACTACAGTACAATGGTAAATTCGTTGACGAATTTAATCTGTTCCCAGAGATGGCTTGTAACCCAAAAATTCATAACCCGAAACAAATTTTCCAATAAATAATTTAAATTGAATTAATCCGTTCCACACTCCCAAAAATAAGTACAAAATAAATTTTATTCGTAATAAACAAATATTTTGTACTATAGTATGTACAAGTTATAGGTTACCTTTATTGTTGCTTCTTGTTGGCATATGGAAGACGGTGAGGGGGGGGGGGGTTTGAGGTGTTTGGAAGGGGAGTCCCCTTCCATTATAACATTAGGTATTGATGACCTTTGGGGTACTCTCTCTCTCCTACATCTCCTGAATTTGTGATTTATCAAGTTGTTACAGATGCATATTCTTGGAAATAGAGAAAAGTGATAAACAATCGGTGAAACATCACAGAACGCGCGAGTTTTTGTATACGTACCTCAGTGTTGGCTAAGTCGGCATTGTGTTCACAGACCACATAGCTACCTAGCAACCTTTCATAGCGCTTTCACCCAGTAGAAGGTAGTTAATCATTTCAGCTTTTTCTTACATTTTGCATACAAATTAATTCTGTAATGGAAAAATTAATTTGTGAAATGTTTATTTTTTGCACATAGGCAGGAATTACCATTTTTATATAGCCACTGTCCAAGGATTAAGGGTCCTACAGAGTCTTTCATTTTGGTTTTTACTTCTTATATAGGCATAGAAAGACTGGATTTTTCTTTGTTTTGAGTAAGTTACTTTTTGTAGTCTCTTATGGCTGATCTGATTTCCTGGGTGGCTTTCATTTAAGGCCCTAATGTATATCTAATAATCTATGTTCCTTGAGGATTGATACCTGCTCCAGAGATTGTCCTTATTTGTAATAGCACTCTTTATTGCCTGTGTCATCTGTCTTTCCTTTCTCTTTCTTGGTGCTTATTTTTTAACTAGTTCGGTGATGACCTCTTTAAAGCTTTCTTACGATTCTTCTTTGCTTTTGATCTTCTATTAACTCCCTCGAGGTGGTGGTTTGCAATTTCCTTCTTGTTCCTCCTGAAGGGTAGTCTAGATATTCATCATCCTGAATTTTGACATGGATTTCTATAAATTTAATCCATCTTAAAATAGTGATAACAAAAGGAGCGCTCTTCCCGTACTTGTATTTAATCAATCGTGTCCTGTTATGATGATAGCTCAAGATCTAGAATGGCGTTACCTTGGATGGGGTGTCACATGGTGTATGAGAGCGAGTCCTGTACCAGGTCAAGACATTGTTCTATTCTGCTAGTCATGTTAGATTCACCTAGCCTGTTGTCTCATGACTAAAGACCCTCGTTATAAGGGCTTGGGTTTCTGCTGCTGCATTGATCACATTTTGCAGATCATTAACTTTCTCTGCTATTACTGTCTGCTCTGTAGTGTACTGCCACTGTTAGTTTGCTACTGTTTTGAGTCAGTATGTTGCACTATACAGATTTTGAGAATCCCATATGTCTAATGCAACCAGCAATGAGGAATTAAAGTCGTCCTCTTACACACAACATTACACCACCTGCTGTTATTGTTCTATCTTTTCTGAAAGGTGGATGGTATCCTAGAAGATGAATTCCTCCTTCAATTATGTCTTCTTGCCCCCATGTTTCAATGATGCCAATGATATTAAAATTTTCAGCCTTGACATATGCACAGAATGCCTCAAATTTATTTATTTAGGTTTCTGGCATACGTGTTGAAGCAATTGAAACTGCTGATGATGTTTATAGGGGGCTGGGAGATTGTGCTATCATTTTGCACATTATTGTTTCCTATAGTGTCACTGGTTTTGTCTGTTTGTCTAAGGAGAAATATACATTAACAAATGGATTAATTTTTTTTTGTAGGTATAAGTAACAGGTGTTTTTTCAAAAGTATAAATTTAAGTCCAAAGAGAAAACCTAATATTTTCTTTTATATCCATTTTGACCCTTGGTGACAAACATGCAGAAAATGAGGTGGTGCTACAAAATGGTGGTGTAGTGACCCTGTTATAAGAAATAAAAATCATTTCTGTATCTTGAAAATATTTTTTTTTTTCAGGTTAACTGTGTTGTTATGCGAGGAAAAAATGAGGACGAGTTGGCGGATTTCGTTGAGTTCACCCGACATAAAGATATTGACGTGCGCTTTATAGAATATATGCCTTTTGATGGAAACAAGTAAGTAGTATTTTGTTGCATTGGTTCAAAGTTTGTATTCAACTCTTAAATTTACCACTCTTAGAACAACTATTAATACTGTACAGTACTGTAGTCTGCTTTAGTCAATGTATTTAGACCAAGCACTTATTAGTCGAGTAGCATAAAGTAAAAATCTCCAATTGCACATTTTTTGTGATGAACAAGGCAAAGCAATGGTGAAAGTGTTCAGAAAATCCACAAAACTGCAGGATGCTTAACCCTTGCACTGCTCACCTATTTTCGGCAAAAACGTCTTGGTGCAATTGTCAAGGACATATTTTTGTTATTTTTACAAATGTTCAGGTAAATTTAATGTCAAAATGTTTCCAAAGTCAACTATTTCCATTTCAAAACACAAATAGTAATGAAAACATTAAAAAACATTAAAATATAGCCAAATTAAAAAACAAAAAGCACAACTCTCTGAGCGCCTAAAGGCGCTTTGCGCAGTGCAGTGGTTAAGGCACGCTACTGTCATTAAGAAACGATTTATCCAAGGAATATAGGGATAGATTAAAATAGATTTTGGAGAAAGCAAAATTGAAGAACTCCGACAGGAAATGCTTCAGGACGATAGTAAGATTGAATCTAAAAAAAAAAAAGTGTCATTAGAACCAGGTGAAGAGCTGAAATTGGAAGAAAAATGCTACACTGTAAGACAATTTTATATACAGTACTAACAAAGATGAAGCCAGTAAGGTCTAGAGGCAAATTATACTAATGTAATGTAAAATAAGACTACTGTTACATTTTTAAAAACAGAACTGAAGAAATTGCATTGATAGTGAAAGAACATAAAGGCATAAAGGAATTGAGATGATAATACACTAGACGTGAATACAGTATTGTAGTAATGGAAGCTCCACTCCATCAGGCAAAATAATAATAATAAATGGCTACAACATGTTGGAAAATCGCTTTGACAAGACGGGGACACAATAAATGACATAGACCCCTTACGATCATGAGAGATTGTTATAAGGTGGCTAGATTTTTTTACTAGGTATCATTATTTTTAAAATCTATTTTATTTAGATTGGAGGGCTCACAAGGCAAGAATAGAGGAAGTATAGGCTGTCAGATTTGTGAATCTCATTCTGAGACGCATTTAAATTATTAATGAATGAGGAAATGGGGACAAATGAAAGGAAAATACTTTGGAAAACGACAACTAAAGGAGAGAAGTATAGGAGTGTTGGAAGAAGACTAGTGAATCTTGTGTCGAAAGATTTGTGTCAAAAAAGTAAAAGGGGGTGCTAATGTGAAAAAGATTTCATCTGAAAAGTACAAGATTGCAGTGAATACATTGGGAAAGAAGGTGAAGTGTGGGAGAATTTGCTGATGAGGTACAGTATATTGAATGTAAAGATTATTAGATGTTGTAGAGGAAATGGATTGAAGTGTGTTGTGAATTTGCCAGAAAGCATAAGTGGTAATGTACCAGTGGATTGTACTGTACAGTAAATATTTGTTGAAGCAATGTACATGCTATTCTGTCCAACACATTATGAACCAGCAGATAAGAAAAGGGAGAGTATGGGTCATGAAATAGGCAGTATGGAGTTTCTCCAGTGATTTGGCCAATATACAACCAAATACTGAGTGAATTAACAGGGGGAAAGTGCCAAGTCATTACAACTAAATAGCAAATACTGTATTTGAGAGAACAGGCATGTCCTTCATTAATTCCTCAGGTGTGTGCATGGGTGCTAATAGTAAACCTGTCGGTTACTCAAAACATTTCCCACATGCATGTTTTTTTGTCTTTCTCTCTCTGGAAAAAAAATAGACCTGATTGTATAATACACAATTTAGGTGGGTGAACAAGATGATGGTGAGCTACACAGAAATGCTGGAGAATATTTCCCAGGTATATCCTGGCATTGTGAAGGTGTCTGACAAGCCAAATGATACATCCAAGGTATTTAAGAACTGTATTTTGAATTTGTTGTTTTGTCCGTGTACCTTGCTGAATAAATCAAAATAGAGGCCTCAAGCCTCATTTCTTAGTACGACTTAAATATTTTTGCCATTTTAAGAAAAGTAAATCTGTAAATAATGTGAGAATTGCACTGCTGATTTTTAAAGTTGCATATTATGAAGTTCTTTTTGTATTTTTTATTTGTAAAAATCATATTCTGCTTTTCTTGTCAGGCATACAAAGTCCCAGGCTTTGTGGGACAAATTGGTTTTATTACATCCATGTCGGAAAACTTCTGTGGTACCTGCAACAGACTAAGAATGACAGCCGACGGCAATCTAAAAGTATGCCTGTTTGGTGCAGCTGAAGTTTCATTGAGGTAAATACATATCTTGCATGTAATACTTTTGATGCTACTGTGCATATTTTGAGCTTTATATATACTGTAACATTTTGCCCTACTATCATAAGCCTTCATAAAATGTGAGCAAATGCATTACTGAAAAACTGCAATTGTAACGAAGTGGTTAAAGTGAAATGTAACTACTGTATGTACTTTAGGGGAAAATGGTGATAGGTTTCTGAGATTTCCCTTCCCTGACCCTCTGACCTCCCAACTCAAAAGAACAAAAAACCAGTCCTCTCAATTATACGTAACGATTGAGCAAAAAATAACACTAATGTGGAATTAGTTAACTGGTGTTCACCAGTTAACAATGTTCTATGACATTGTTAATATTCCTTCTATGATTTAATCTAAACTGTGTCCATTGTGCTGTTCTTCACACTGGCCCAGATCAAGATGGATCAAGGAGACCAGGCATGCAAGCAGGCACACATACTAGGAAGAAATAATGCAGTTCTAATTATTATTCTTTTACCCCCCTCCATTTGCCATGAGAGGCCTACCTTAAGCCTGTTCGTTGAAACTGGCGTCCTGTCTCCAGAACCGCCGTGATTGCTACTGTCTTTGCTACTTTGCACGGGCCTTACAAGACCCTCACTCTCTCCTTTGTCGGGCTTTGAATCTTGCCCCTCTTGTGGTCCCTGTTCCCCTTCACCACCTTCCCCTTTATGTACAGTTGTCTCGCCTACAAGATTCTCTTTCGGTTAGTGTTGCCAATATTTCTCCTTGTATTGTTCTGTCCTTTCCCCATGGAGTGTCCCCCTTCCTAAATTTTGTAAAACCTTAGCCCATGTGACTAAAGCTTTTACCCTTCCTACAGTTCTTAAAAGCGTTTTCCTTCAACACTTTTCTTAACACTCCCGCTTCATTTTTGTCTTCACCAATGGGTCTATGTCTGCAGACAGTTTAGGCTACTCTGTTAATTTTCCTGACCTCACCTGTGTGTGTCGCCGGCCTCTGGAGACTAGCATCTTCACGGCAGAACTTTATGCTATTCTGTGTGCTCTGTCAATTGCATTTTTGCTGTCAATCCTCCTTTGTTGTTGTAGTTGACTCTTACAGTGCCCTCATTGCTCTGGAGTCCTTTAATCCAGTCTATCCGGTGGTAGTCAAGATTCAACATTGGCTGTTTATCTCCAGTAGATTTAAGACAGTGGAGTTTTGCTGGGTTCTCAGCCAAATTGGTGTCCTTAAATGAGCATGCGGACGCTGCCGCTAAGGAAGCTATCCACACTTGTTCCATTTCCCATAAAGGTATTCCTTATTCCAACTTTTACCCAGTTATTCATTCCTCCATCCTTGCCCATTGGCAGGGTTGTTGGGCTTCTGTTACTGGTAACACTGCATGCCCTTAAGAGTAGTGTATCCCCATAGCCTTCCTCCTACCTCTATAACTGGTGGTGGGAAACGGCTCTGGCGAGGTTAGGTCTTAGCCATACACGTTTAACTCGCGGACACGTAATGGAGCACCGCCCTGCTTCTTATTGTCCAAACTTCACAGTCCCTCTTACGGTTATGCATATCCTTGTTGAATGTCCTGATTTCCAGGACGAACATGTCTTGCTTCCCAACTGTCCCTCGCGGTCACTTTTCCCTCGATAGAATTCTTGCTGAATCGGATACCTTTGATATCATTTGCCTTATGCATTTCTGTTCTCATCTTGGTATCCTAGGTGATATTTAGCACCTTATGATGGTGCTACATAACCTTCCTGGCTTGGTGCCTTCTTTTGAAAATTACTTGCTTGCCATGAGAGGGTTGCATAGTGCTATTACACACAAGTTTTATTGTACAGGTTTAATCAAGATATACCATTTAATTGGCTAAATCCTTGCAAATCTTTAAATAATGGAAAATTTTGTATTCTTATATTTGTTATTGCATATTAGGCATTACCTATCCCCATCTCCCACCCTTCCCTCTTTTTTACTAACTACCTCCCATGCATGCTTTGCTGGATGACTATCTGACTGCATGTAGATGGTTGGTGTGCTTACTGCAATACATGTAGTTGACTGCACTTACCCATGCCCACACCCACATGCTGATGCTCTTTGATCAAGTAAGCAATGGCTTGGCACTTTCTTCTGATAGTTCCGTTCCAGTCCGTTCCATTCCCTGGTTGTGTGGCTAGTCATGTGTTCTTGACAGTACATGCAAGAGCCACTCCCAGCAAACATTGCCATCCCACCCAACCCACTCGGCACACCTGTATCAGATACACCACAACCACAAAGACTCCAAACATCCACATGCTAATATCCAGTAAACAAGACACCAGCATAATAGAGGTTAAGAAAGTGATGCATATGAAAAGATACACAGTATTGGCATGGCATCATTGGGAAAGGCCTGCAGTATTTTTTGTATGCTCCTGCTCGTGTAGGCAGGAGATGTATGTAGAAAAGAAAATGGTCAACTTGAAGGCTATAAATTAAGAGACTTGTCAAACAGAAATGTGACAAAGCCATGAGAAATTTAGCCATGAAATTGCTTTCATTTAAGGGTACAGTATCTGTAACAAATTGTCAAGCTTCAAGGTGGTGCAGTTCTTGTGACTGTACTAGACTTTTGGCTTGGCCATAGCAGAAGCCTGACGAATACCCACAAGCCTATATTATCAGGCCGTTTTTCTCATAAATTAGAGAAAAAATTTATTTTTTAGATTATTACTTCAATACACTGGATCAGTATGTAAAGTACATTAATCTCATTGAAATGCAATGCAATTGAAGATGACAGTAAAAATATGTAGGCAAAATTTACTCGATTCTGGAGTGAACAATACACAGTAGACGGAAAGGGTTCCATTTTATAAAGCCAGAAAACCATGTTTATAGAAGTATTATCCTTTTCAAATCATGTTTAACAAACTTAGCAAATACGGATTGTCATTATCTTGAAGAGGAAGTGACAGGTGCAGGATGTAAGTAGCAACAGCTTGGGTGATAAGGTAGTCAGCAAGAAAGGCTGGCTTCCTAACAAACAATAGTAGTCATTACAGTGTTTATTTTAGATTTTAAATTGCATTAGACATGGATTCAACATGTACTAGTGCAGTCACTGGGAGGACAAATCCTTCAAGCAAACTGTACCTAATATAAAAAATAACATATATTAAATGTGGTTAAAATGAGCTTTAGTTTGCTGGGTAAAATTCAAGCAACAACAATATTAGATATATGATGAACAGATAAAATATGGGAAAGTAGTAAAGATTAAGAATGGCTTGTTAAAAACTTGCCTCTATTGGCAGGAAAATACCAAGTTGAGAATTTTGTAGACTTTGTGTGCAATTGTGCTGATTATATCTCAAATGTTATTTTATAAATATGCAATATATTGTATATTTAGAACAAAATTGATGGTGAATTTTTGTGGTAGGGATGCCATGCGTAGTGGCTGTAAAGATGAAGACCTGCTAGAAGTCATTGGGGCAGCAGTTGGCAGGAAGAAGAGGCAGCATGCAGGTATGTAATTGTAAATATCTTTAGTTTTATCTATGAATGTATATGTTGTGTGGATAAAGGTAATACGTGTTGGTGAGATTATTAGAGAAGGATGTGAAGTAAGTGGGAGTGGCACTTGTTTACCTTGTAGCTATATGCATTAATGCTGAGGATTTTTGGGTTAATTAGAAAAAGTATTTAAGTGAACTGTTACTCTTATGATAAATGTACATTATTGTATAATTTAGAATTACGATAAGTGTACAAGGTTTATGATAAACATGCCCTTATTCACAGGAATGGAAAATCTGGCGAAGCTGAAGAATCGGCCGATGATTCTAATTGGTGGGTGACATTGGAGACCATACATAGTATGTTGACGCTGGTTCCTTTCCACGGAATTTTAGATTGTCAAGGTTAAACATTATTATAAAAGTGAATATTACCTAATAATTTTTGTTATACTAGTAACTTAAACTAATGTTGCAAAGTACACATTTTGTGTTAATTACTTGGTTCTACAGATAGTGGAAAGATAGCTATATACTGTAATGGTTTTGAAAAATTTAAATACAACTTTGGTTATGTACATGAATGCAATTTAATATTTTAGTAGTGTACAGTAGTTGCATAATTCTTTTTGCCATTTAAAATCGGTGTCCAGAAAAATATGGAAATGGAGTATTTATTAATTTTGTAAGATGTATTGCATGGACATTTTTGCTCAAAGAAAATTATTTCAGGTCAGGGATCGAAGTCGGATGCTGTACAGACTTCCACGATCATCTCAAATATAGCTGTATCAAGAGTTGTTGGAGCACAGCTGATTCACAAGAGAGTAAAGTGTCTGAAAGATCAATATATTTTGAAACCAACATATGGTGGGTATATTTTCAACAGTGAGAAAAGTTGGAAATGCAATGAAACTTTTGAGTGGACACATCAAACTAGACTTTACACAACCAGCTTAGAAGATAAAAGTAATTTGTATAATAATTCATGTCTTGAGGATGGAGATACTGTGGATCACAACAAACAATTTTGGAAACAATTTGGTGAACATGCTCAAGAAGAAAATTGTCAAGATTTAATTGAAGTGAATCAAGAAGTGTTGCAAGAAGGCAGTTCAAAGGGCTTGAATGGAGAAGAAATTGGTAGAAAAGGATTTTCAGATAATGGGTCTAATATTGATAATATTGAGAATAATATAGAGAATTCATTCCATAACCTTAGTCATGTAAATTTAGCCGGTGAAGCTCAGATGGTGGATGTAAGTGGGAAAAGCAGGAGCATTCGCCAAGCTGTGGCTAGAGCAGAGGTGTTTCTTGGTCCCAAGGCCTTTTCTTTAGTGAAGGAAAATAAAATGAAGAAGGGAGATGTGCTTGGGGTGGCACGAGTGGCTGGCATAATGGCAGCCAAGAAAACTTGGGAATTGATACCTTTGTGCCACCCACTTTTACTCGATCACATAGATATATCACTAAAATTGAAAGAGAACTTAGAAAATGGTAAAGAGTGCCACCTGGTGATAATAAAGGCTAAAGTTGTAACTTGTGGATGCACTGGAGTGGAAATGGAAGCTCTGACTGCAGCAACAGTGGCCGCACTTACGGTGTATGACATGTGTAAGGCCGTCACCCACGACATTGCCATATTAAATGTTTGTCTCGTCTCAAAAACGGGGGGCAAAAGGGATTTTTATAGAATGCCATCATGATTGGGATGTTTGTTTCGGTGCTGTGCTGTTTTTGTATAGTATATAATAATGTTTGCAGAATATATTTATTTTCCAATAAAGAGGTCTACCTAAATAGTGTTAAAGATGCAGTTTATATTGTCACTGTTGGTGACTAACCTTAAAGATGATTGTTATGAGGGAATCTATAATCCATATTTGAAAATTTATGAAGAAAGTACTGTAAAATGATTATGTAATTCTGTAATGAATCAATCTTAAAAATTGAGGAAATTGAGGTTAATATTTATTGAAATGAAATACATCATTAACATTTTAAGAGTGAAAAATATGATTAAAATGGTGGTAGCACTGCAGAAATAGGATTCACATTTTACAATATTTAAGCATAATAAAAAATATATTGTTAAAATATATGAAAAAAGAAAAATATAGTTCAAAATTTTAAATTAATTAGTTTGGGTGCAATGAAGCGTCAATGGCATCATAAAATGCTGTTTACTGTCGAAACATGGAGGCAGCTGAGCCACTGCGAGGGAGGCAGGCTTGCACATTGAATATGGGGAGATTTTTATTATATTCCAGTGTGATGATCGATTGGGCTATCAATAACTGACAATGTGTGGAACATTAGATAATCATAAATATGACACTAATATGCACACCATAATATTAGAAAAAATAAAACTTGCCATTTGAGTCCAATAAAACTTATTGGATTCTACACAGTTGTTGTATGAAGATGTAAATAGTGAACAAATCCACAAGGGCCATGACGAGGATTCAAAAACGTTCGGTGAAGAGGTAGAACGGTTTATTGACAGAGCTTGGGTGCATGGAGCAATTGTGTAAAATCCTGGTTTGTGTTTCAGAGAGGCTGCAGGATCTGAGTAAGGTTGGTAGAACTTCTGGTTGCAATTCTTTTACCATGTCATAGCTCAGTCGATTAAGGCAGTGTCTGGGATCCTCTCAGACGTAGGTTCGAACCCTCGTCACAGCCCTTGTGGATTTGTTTATTTGATGCATCACGCTGTTGTGATTTGTGTGTGTAATGTAAATAGTTATATATACTTCATGAAGTGTTTGGAAGTTATCTGTGTACAGTGCACAAAGGTGGGTCTGTGTTGTCACTTTGACCTCATGTGTGTTTTTGCAGACAATGCACTAGAGTTGGGTGTTGTCACGACCAACAGGTGGTAGAATGCAGTGTTGCAGGTCGAGAGGATGGTAACAGTGCTGCCCATACCACTGTCTTTTGTGGCAAGTAGGCAATTTGTATAAATTTTATTCATCATAGATAATAGTTTGTCCAATTTTAAACATTTTCATCTGTAAATAATGATGATGAAATGCAGCACTATTGGGAGTTCGAGTTGAATTCACTACCAATGTTTGCCATGTTGAATTAAAATGTTTTCAAATATGGCATCTAAAGCAGTAGATTTAAGGCTTGTGTACACCTGCAGAAGTAGTTTAGTGTGTTATGTTGCGATATAAAAAAAAAATATATATGTACAACAAATTGTGCTGTTATGTTTGTGATGTGTAGGAAATGGCGACTTTACTTAGTGCCGGGGTTAAAGAGAAGTTATTGTCATATGTCAATTCAACACCTGGGGGAGGGGGGAATGTAGTCCTGGATGGCCTTTGCTGCTATTCTATCAGATAATAAGTGGGTTGGAAGACTTTGAAATGTGCAAAGAAGAATTTAAGTGCAGTATAGGTGTACATATTAAATTTGTGAAGTGTGTGCAAATGCAGTTATTGCATACATTGTGTTAAGTGAAGTGGGAGATTGAAAAACCCTGTAACGAGACCATCAAAGACCTTTCCTGTACATGGCTAGTTAGCAATATTGTCAGCAGTCTATGGCAATACAATGCCTTTTCACCTTGTGTTGTCTTCTTGAATTATATGCATTCATATTTTGGTGTGAAAATCCATGTCAAAATGAGGCATGAGAATGTGTATCAGCTTGCAAAATTTATGGAAAGTTGAATTTTGTGTTGGCGGGTTCTCTGTTATGTTCGGTCAATTGAGCATACAGTATTGTTTTTGAGACTTGGCAGGTTGAGAGGAGGGGTTGGTCCCTTGGCATCATTGTAGTGTTCATGAAACACTTTGATATTTTATTTTGCACAGGCCGAAAGGCACATTTAATGATAGCCACACTTTATGGGTTAATAAAGTGAACAGTTTGTTGGAATCAGAAGGGAAAATTGATAAGTATCAGAGTTCAGGAAGTGGGTGGGGAAAGTTTAGGTTGAATTGTAGTAGGGTATAGTATAGTAAGAAAAATGTTAATACAAATACAATAGTGCAATATTTAAATGTGGAGAAAGTTGTAAGAAAGCTGAAAGCATTAGGTGGCCGTTTATCTGTTAGGTGCTATAGAACTTGCAATTATAGGTCTGCTTAACACTTGGAGTGGAGCAAATGAAGCTTAACAGTTTTTCTCGAGGACCTGGGCAACTGTAAATTTTCCTGTCATTTGCAAAGCATTCTGAAAATAAACACAAGCACAGCAGATGTTGACTCGAGTGATGTAGGTGGATGGTTTAAAAATACTTTTCCAAGTATCCAATTAGCTCTGACTACACTGCCAACAAACAATTCTTTCAGACAATTGTGTACACAGTGTAATAACAGCAAGACTTTTTATTGTTCAAAGAATGTTTTCCATAGTAACGTTAATGCTAGACGGTGCGTTAACAACTGTCTTGCTGCTTTTACACAATTGCAGCCCCCCCCCCCCCCTCCATGTGGGGGCATCATCTTAAGGTGCCAGTTATAGAGAAGGGTAAGGAGGTATGGGTTTGATGTCAGATCATTATTTACTATATATATTTAATAAAGTAGAAATAATTTATTTAGTTTTCAGTCCTGTGGCCAATGATTAAGTAAGTAATATTCAAAAGAAGGCACCAAACCGGGAAGGCTATGTATGGCCAATGATTAGTTTTAGCTAGGTAGATAATGTTTGTGACAAGATGCTAGCCATAGCAGTATATTCCCATTCTGTGTAATCATGTTTATGAATATTTATTGTATTTTAACAAATGCAAAATAACAGCATTGTATGGCTGTTACATTTGTTTTAAATAATATGGACTTTCCCGCAATGGGAAGGGCAAAACACAGTAGTTGCCTCTCCAAGGAGGGAACGATGGGCCCACACAGGACCTCGATCATTTCCCCATGGTTCGGATAAAATACAGGAAGTGGGTGACACTGAGTAAAATGAGACTCGCGTCCCTAAAGAATGACTACTACATACCTAATTGTGATATGACAAGGCCAGATATGGACTATATAGGTGGGATGAAGTATAGAAATTGAATTACATGGAGATTCCAAGAGACTCGAGATATATGGGCAAATAGACAATATTTATTGATACCCCTAACAAAATATTTTATCTTTGACAAGATACCCTGTGGGGTTGGGGAATGTTTAGAAGCATGATATACCTCCATCCTAAAGATGTAAAGGCCATAGAAAGTGTGGGGATGGGAAGGTACCACAGCATACACATTCTGCCACATTAATGCAGACCTGACAGTTACGACATGTAAGATGTGCAAGAGTTGCAGCGGCATATTTTGACTGCCTACTAGGGTAAGGATTATTAATTGGCTGTAGTACCTTTGTTCCCACAATTTCTATGGCTTTTACATCTTTAGGATGGAGGTATATCATGCCTCTAAGTCATGTCACATCTTGCAATGCAGTTTGGACAACCAGTATGCCAGCATTATTTTCATAATTGTGACCATGACTTAAATGTGTCTGGCCAATAACACATCCCCCCCCCCCAGCCCTACCCGTTAGTGGTAGGAGGAAGGCCACAGGGGGGAAGGGGAAGACACACTACCCTTAACACTAAACACTTTCTTTCCAACAACAAAAACCCTATCACGAACATTTTCACCTTTCTACTACGTACCTTTTTTTCAATCTAAATGCTTCACATCCACAACACATTCATTTTTATATTTCAGTACATTTAACCTGCCTGTTAGATAACCCAAAAAGCATGACTAATAACTATGCCTCTTCCAAATTTTATTACTTACAAATACAATTCATTACTCTAACATACAATATTTTTCATTCCCCCATTAAACTTTCTACCCTTTGGCCATCTAGTCTATAACCGATTGTGGTGTTCCTGCTCCTGCTTGCGATGCTTCCTTAGTTTATCAAGTAGCTCGTCAAAAAGCTCTTCTAGGTATTCTTCATCTTCCTCCTCATCAATCAGATATTCTTCAGCATTTTCAAGAGATCCATCATAATCATCTTCGTCCAAATCATTGTAGTTCTCCGTGTCAAAATCCTTGCCACCAAATTCACTGTTCTTGTCCTTTGATGTATCTGGAGACGTGCAGACCCAGCTCCCAACTGCACACACGCTATAAATGAGTCATTTATTAATTTTGTTGCTTTCCCATATTTCACTTACATAGATTAATATAATATACCTGTATTTTTACTACATTTAACTGCACTTTATTGTTTAGTAAAAATTATTTCAATTGTCAAACTTATCAACTTTATGCATTTCTATTCATTTCCCATCCTTTCCCCCCCCCCCACCCTACTCATAATTCACTAGACAACATATTTATAGTACTTATCAAAAGAAACCACCAAGCCTTAGACAGTATCCATTTTGCTAAGCATTTACAACAAAATTTATATGTAACCAGCACAAATACAACTGGTATTATTCAATGTATGAGTCATTAACACTCAACATTACACTTATATGTAACCAATGACCTAATAAATACCTGTATTACATTACTCATATCTACCCCTATATAGCATTTTCAGTTTCCATTACTGATCATTAAATTCAGTTCATTTATTAACATTGACTTACCAGTGATTTCCGTCAACATGCACGTCTTCTCCATCGTCGTATTTCTTTCCATCTAGCGAGCATACTGAAAACAAACATGATGTTACTTTAGTCGAACATTTTGTTGCATCTACATAGTTTTCCAAACCTTATATATTTGATTTAACATCCCTAAAATACACAACTTTATTGGTATGCACTTCAGTTTATTATTAACATTTTGTATTCTTAAATGTGTTACTCCAACTCACATTTATGAGCAGGCCGGAAGTCTGGGGACAGCATTCTTGTGAACTCCTCAAAATCTAGCCTCCAGTCACGATTGCTGTCTGCTACATCTACAATAGCATCTATACACAGTGCCCTGATGAACATAATCTTATATAAAAAGTGTAGGAACACATCATCAACATTCTTCATCTACACTTGCCCAAGTATGACATTCAAACATGTTTCATGGTAAAGATTACTAGTTAGTTTCTCATTTGTAATTGCCTCAAATTATTTACCCTTTATAAAATATGCCAAATTACTGTACAGTATGTCTAAAAAAAAATTATATTACGCTTTTTTCCCCTCCTTACTTAATATTAAATATTTTACGTTTATTGTACATTATAATTGCTAATTTTTCAACCCTTAGCAATTTTGCTCTAAAACATACTTCAATCTTAACACATCTGATATTCTTTTAATATATTTAACAATAAATTACTCAATATTATTACACATTACCTTGTCAGTTCATTTTCCTGTTCAGGACGGGCTAAGAAGAACGAACCAGAGGTGCAATTCAGCAATTCATCAGAGTTAACATAATTGTCTTTATCGGCATCACATGTGAAGAAGCGACCCCACAGTGACTCTCTGTACGTCATGTCGGAGACATGCCATGGCTGGTTAGACAAGGTGTCCTGCCAGTGCTTCCTCACCACCACCAGAAGAGCATCACGCTGGCTACTATAGCACACGGCTACACAAAAACGAATTAACATTCCATACCTTATTGAATAACTTTATACAACAGCACTTCTTTATCATTTATGCATCTCAATTCATGTACAATAATATTCTTTAAGCAATGTTCTACATTAAGTTTTCAAATAAGTTCCTTGGAGTAAGTTCTATTCTTTTTATCTACTGTAAGTACAATTAACCAATTTACTATGTTACATTAATGACTAGGGTAACCACTTATGTCATAACCAAAGTCAAACATACTGTACTAACAAATTACACATTTCCAACCTGCTTTGTTGACAATCTGATTCAATAACTTACAAATAACAAATTTGTAAACTGAGAAAGTAACATTTAATTTCTCATTACTGTACTGTACTATACATCTTGTATACAATATATAATTCTGAACTATTACCATTTGACTGTCCCAGAATGAAACCATGTGCCATGTTAGGAACATGACAAGTTGTATAACATTCTGCTACTAGTCCACACTGCAATTTCCTGCCTCCCCCGCCTCTTACACAACAATAGGTACTAGTATGCGACTCCAAAATACCTATTCTACTATAAATTTACTGCCACTAGTAACTTCAATAGCAATTACTTACCCAGTTACAATTTCATTAACTCCCTTTTTAATTCTTCCTGCCTATTCCCAATACACTTCCTGATTACATCATATACTACGGCTATACATTTAAATGACCTGTATTTAGGTTGTCAATAATATCATAAGTACACTTCAATCCCTGCAAAATAATGCCTCATGCCTTCACACAATTTTACTACCTCACGACTGCATACAGTTCTTCCTTACACAACTTAACACATATCCATATGCTCACATATTACACAGTGTTTAAGTCATCATGGCTTTAAATATCACCTACAAACACTACCTTATCAACACGGCTATCATTCATACATCTCGCCATCATTTGTGGTCCTCAAGTCAGATTGACCACACTATCAATAACATCTAATCAGAAACCACATTTAGAACATTTACAACAACCTCAGGAGAGAGGAGAGCTATTTAACTAAGGTTTCTTTTGCACAGCATGTTCAATCCTGTCTGTACTTTTGCATTTTTTTCTTTATCTTTTTTTTCAGTATTATTATATCCATCTCATTCTTTAACAATAGTCATGCACCACTATTCATTGCCACCATATTAACAGTTAATGGTATATTGCATTTTGTTTATCACCACTTAAACCCTAACCAATCTCAAACTACTTTGCCCAATATTTGTCATTTCATAATGGAACATTCTATTCATGCTGCCTTACCTCTTTCACCACTTGTCACCTTTCATCACCCAACTCCAATGGGAGTGTCCTTGCCAGCTACATGCAGCACTATGCCCAGTAACTTGACTTTTCAACTTCCCTTCTTCATTCGACTTTACTTCATAACCAACTACCCCATCATTCTGCCAAAGATCTGCCTATGTGTCATCCTCCATTAATCCTAGCTTGCCACTAACCAACCTTAACTGAAAGGTGCTACTCGAGGATTACACATGCTATCACACTATCATCTCAATTCTACCCACAAACACTCCCTGAACTGTCCACCTGGTGCCATACTACAGTACTTTCAGTAAACCATCAATACTCTAAACAATCATGACTAGTCAGTAAACTGTTGAGTTTCATCCTGGTCAAATTCAGTGTATTTCAATGAACCTCAACATTATACACCTAGGTCACCTCAATAAACCTAACATGTTTCCTGGTCATTGTTATTCTGTTTAAAGGTCTTCTGGAGTCTAATCTAAATTTTCCTTCTGTGCACATGATCTGGGTGACCCTGCCCTCACATCTTCACATTACCTTTAGTGTCCTTTGGACCCCACAAGTCCAAACCCTTCACAATCCTAACTTCTGAAAGGTTCAGTTTGCTTACACTACTATCGACCTTCTCTCCCCATTTGTCTCGGGTGACATGATTAACCAATTCTCTCATACAACTTATTTGCATGTGAAAGGAAAACCAAAGTACAAGATCTTGTAACCTGTCCTTTAAGTCTGTCCTACATCTCTACAATTTCAATTATGCATCACACAGTGGTGCCTACCAAAATGCTACCTACATAAAAAAACAGTCATCCTTTCTGTCCACTATTTGCCATGTTTCACCATATACGTTACAATCTTTTTTTCACATTTAAGTTACCACCCATTATTCCTCACATCCTGGAGGATGCCTATGTTGCCACCAACCTATAAGCTCTTATATAAATAGCCAATTTTTATCCTAGTTTACATTCTGCCCCTTCGTCCCTATGTTCCGTTTTATTTTACACCAACAGTCTTGGATCTTTCAAACTTTGCTTCCCCATTGCACTCTACCATATTTAACCACTTGCACAAGCAATCAGTGGGAGCTTCCAGTTTGAAGCCATTAGCAGGGAAGGCCTAGAAAACCTTCAAGCTTATGATTATACCTTTGTCAATCATTTCAGGTTGGATTATTTTTTCCGGTGTACTATACTACCATTTGACTGTCACAATTACTTACAATTTCCTATACTGTCTATATCACATTATGACTAGCCAATTGTTCATTATCCTATCATCTACATCTTTCTTTTGGGGCAACCAAATGGATGTGTTCAGAAAGGTATTTTCCATTATTATTAATTAGAGCTGAAATATTCACTAGTTACTGCATGGCTCAGATTATCTACGCTAAATTGGCTTACCTGGTTCCTCTTTCTTCTCTGGCTTCTTTTTTACTTGCTTATTCTTCTTGCACAGACCTTTGTGAATAACTTTGATGTGCTCCCCCTGAAACCACATGACCAAAATTACTACAACACAGCACAATCACTCTCCATATCCAAGTAAATAACTTAAGTGTCCCAATATGACAATGCTTTCATTACAACTATATCTCAATCCATCAATAGACAATAACTCTGAATTCAAACTATAACACTATTGTACTTTTAATAAACATTTCTTTATGGACAAGCCAATGGTCATTATAAAATGCCCAAGGTAACAAAAGTAGCTACAATATTTTTACTAACTGATAAACAGGCGTGACGATGGAGGAGACAGTGGTTGTCATAGGAGACGCCATCAGAGCCACACACTGGGGCAAAGCGGTCAGGACACAATTCAATGCACTGACAGTGGGCAGCACCTTGACTCACCACACACTCTCGTCCCGCTCTGCATTCCACGCTATCACACAGATCGCCTGAAAAACATTTAAATTTTACTCTCCTGCAATTCATTGTATCAAACCGAGTAAAACACTTAAGATTAATAAATTCAATATTTTACCTACCCACCAATCAGGGAAGAAATACCATTTGCTTAAGAGACCGCCACCAATATTGGAAATAGAAAATTTACAGTTATCCAAACTTACAAATATACAGTCATCACACAAGCCACACTAAACATTAGCTGTACACTACGGCTAGTCATTCAGAGCAGTACTGTACCATGTTATCTTCATTGATTTTTGTTTTAATGTTAAGAAGCCATTATGTAAACAATGTTTCTCTCCTCCCACTTGCCATATCAGTTCATCTTTTTGCCCTGCCCTTCTCTCTCCTACGCTGACTTTCACACACTAATCACCCAGCATGTTGAACCTACCATACCATCTCCATAAAAGCTATATGTATGAATACACTGGCTTATCCCCCCCGACAATGATTTATTATAAACTTGCAAGAATTGATACAGGAGGATAAATATTGACACTTTAGCACAATGGTACTTCATTAAGGGGCTCAAGTGAAAACAAGACTACCCAAATGATCCACAAGTGTTAGAAACATCTTTTCAGTGCAATTAGTGCACATAATATGCACTATGTCAGAAGAGATGGATGAAGCAGACTACTTTCAAATGTGTAAATAATAAAAGCTTAATAGAATCACAACCCTGTACACTACTTGCTTTACAGTCCAAGACTCTAAAGGCAGGGGGAAAAAAATCCTAACACCTGAAACACAAATTACCCAGGTATCTTTTCCTTGCAAGGTTTTTAGACCCCAGAATACTTTGATGGCATGCATGTCTGTCAATGTTATATCCAATCTCAAGTTCTTTAACATGTACTGTGTGTGACAAGGATTAACACACACAACAGGACAAGTTGCTCCCTCACCTAAACCCACCCCACTCCCTTCACTGTCTTCACCACGAACCATTTCCACAACAGTCATCACTAAACATCTTCACATTCTCATCCCCCTCCATGTCCTTTGTTACTCAAATTTAAAGGAATGCTAAACTAATAACTGTTGCCCATGTCATTATCCACCGACTCGTGAAAGGAGTGTAGAGGTAAATTTTCCTCTTTAGAAAAAAGGGGGGTACAAAGGGGGCAGACTGAAAACCCTACGAGACTTCCCACCATTCACTAAGCAAATTTACCTTCCCTGTGAAGGTCTACACATACATAACAGTTCCCCCCCCTATATAAACTATCCCCCCCCCCTTACAAAAAATTAAAATTAAATTAAATTAGTGCTTCGAGAAAATAGGTACAACCGCACTAGATACAACATAGGCAAGTCACATACCGCCTAGATGCAAAAAGGAAAAAGAACAGCGTTCCCTCTATAGACAGGTAAAATAAATCTGTGCTACTAACGCTCCACTATCCCAAGAACGAAGACAAGGCTATGGAGAACTATGAAAGATACACCTAAAGTTTTAAGAATCAAAATACAGTATAGGAAAGAGCAAAATGGCATCAGTGAAAGAGGAATTTTAAATTTCTCTTATGCAAAACAAAAACAATCTAGCATTGGGCCTTTGCGCAAGGGTCGGTGAACTTTCGCAGATGACAAACTAGTGAAATACAGAGCCTACAGTAAGATTCCTTTTTCAGAACTCCGTACACATTGAAGATCAATGATCCAAACAAATGCTTCACGATTGTTTTAAGCATCGAACCATGTATGTAATGTCACCTTAACCCTATTGGATTTTATAGTAGACAAGACGGCATTCACATTCACTACACCAGGCCCAGGTTCCTTGAACTTTCCCGGTCAAGATATCAAAAGGCATCACGTGCAGAGCCTCCCGTTGAAAAGCAGGGATGCAATATGTACGCTATGAGAATTCTATCAACATCGAAGGCCAAAGATTCTTCAACACTACAACACAGGCATAACTAATCTACTCTTCCATGGTGCCCAAGAGAACTTAACCCCTAAGGATCTGATCAACCAGGCTGCTATTCCTACGTCACGCTGTGAGCAGCTACGTCTAACAGCCTGGATAACCACACCGAGGCAAGACCGCGAGGACTGATCCCATGAATCAACAGGAGGTAGGTGCTGCGGTATGAAGGGTCACGAGGCTACTCATATTTCATGCATAATCTACATGAACTTAGACACTAACACCACTCATTGCCACTAAACTAAACTTTAAACTCTGCCACCAAACCCTGTATTCAAAATTGTTAAGTCTCAAACCAAAACATGGAGTCATTATCAGAAGGATTTGCCAAGCCACTATAACTAAAGCGCTGTGGAAGGTTGGGAGGATAACTATCTAGACAACGGAGATACCATCAGTGACCGAAGGCAGATCTGCCTGGAACGAGATCATATATCAACCACTAAGTAGTTGGATACACACCAACCAAATCAAACTTGCCTAAGTACATTCGACACGTCCACCTTACTTTCTTAATTTATTCTTCTCTCGTTCCACGTGCCTGCCAGCGCACCAGATCAGAGTCCAATCTGACCTTGGAAGGGAGGAACGCGTGAAGATAAGTAACCCCCCCCCTTCCACATACACTACAGGACAGGGTACAGCAAGCCGTTTTTACGAGTTTTATCCTAACAAATACACACGTTTAATTACGTACTTTGAAGAATTTCTGGCGAGCATCTATCATTGACCAGATATAGTTTGTAGTAAATAGTAATTGTAACCATTTTCTACACGATCTTAAATTTGTACCCTCGACAAAAGTGGCTTACATGATGGTCACGACCCATGTGGAACCTTCTGATCACTCTACAGGGAGCCTACAATATTCATCTTATTCATGCTAAATTTATCTCCGTATTCAAAGAAGTGATTCTAATGGGTACCAGGGTATCGACGGGACAGGAAGGTCGTGAAGTGGTAGGAGGGTAACCAAGGACCAAGAGGTAATGCTGAAACGAGCAGTAAAGATGGGACACTAAAGGCGAGAAATTTATTTGAGCAAGGCGGTGATCTGGCCTGTAATTTTGGTCACTCCAGACGCATTTATTACAGGAGCAGCAAAGACAACATGATTACCAATGAAGGAACAGATGCATCAATGAACCTAGGATAGTCATTAAAACTAGGACCGAATCCAGGCTGAAGAAATGAACGGAGAAATCAAGAGAGGCAGGGGAAAAAAAACATTGCTACATAATCAAAACAGGGCAAGAGGCTTACTATCTGCTACCCCGATCATTCACTTAAACCTCCCTCATTCATTAAACTTTCTTTCAACTACTTTTCCGATATTAGTCACCTACCCCTACCGTACTTCAGTTGCTACCGACACATTACCAGTTTCCCCCAAGACCGTTGTTACCTGCCAAGACTGACTACATTGCGTCAGCCTTTAGGGACAACGCAGCTGGGAGAGTTCCAAGGCACTTCATATTCTGTTAGCCACAGCCCGACACGTAAATACGTACACGCGTCTGGAATACTTTTACACCAGGCTGCCTCGCGCTGGCTAGGATTTGACGTTCCTTAATATAATGCTTTCCCTGGCAACAGCAAGGGGTATTTACATACAAGCCTGCACAGAACTAAAAAATTATAGTGTAAATAATTTACAACCCTCCAGAGCCACAAGACTAACAAGAACAATTACAAAATCTCCTTTCAAAAATGCCATCCATGATGTTGCAAAAATTCCTTAAAAAGTGAAGTTGATAATAAAGGCAAACTTCAATCACTACTAAATTTACTAGGAAATGTTGCCCCCCCCCTTACTCTAGGATTCCAGATTATATGTCCGGAAGGGACATTATTGAGCAGATTTCCTTCCACCTGAAGCCTCTGTTCACACACATTTAATATGTGCACAGGAGTTGGGCAATTAGTGTGTTGCATCCTGGGTAACACGGGAAAAGGGGGAGCCGACCTGGGGAAAAGGACAGCCAACCTGGGGAAAAGGACAACCAACCTGGGGAAAAGGACAGCCAACCTGGGGAAAAGGACAGCCAACCTGGGGAAAAGGACAGCCAACCTGGGGAAAAGGACAGCCAACCTGGGGAAAAGGACAGCCAACCTGGGGAAAAGGACAGCCAACCTGGGGAAAAGGACAGCCAACCTGGGGAAAAGGACAGCCAACCTGGGGAAAAGGACAGCCAACCTGGGGAAAAGGACAGCCAACCTGGGGAAAGGCGGAGAGGGACCGGGATGAAAATCGTCCCAATAACACTAATATTGCAAATTAAACTTTAAAGAAGTGGTCTACCCAATCTACTAGAAATATTCGAGACTCCAAAATACGCCACAATGACAGAGCGAGAGCTTTCCGCTTTAGAAGAGAAATCGAAGTAGTAGTCCTAACTTTATCTGAAGCTAAACACGCCAGAAAGAGTTACCCTCAACCAAATTGACCCAGTGCCTTCACGCCAAAAATTGTTACCAATGGTACGCCTATAGAAGGTTTCTAATAATCTTACCTGCAAATATTAAGAATTCTGTATACAAGATTTATTCAACTATCTATTCCCGTCCACATTAACTTCTGGATGGCTGGTCACCATATCAACGGACTGTAGAATCTTTAGTACTTACGTTTTCCAAGGAGCTCGAACTGAAAATAAAGTAAAACAACAAATTAGTGTTGGGGAGGATATACTATGGATTCTTTTGGTTTAAAGAAAAAAATAAACAAATTAGTCTTAAAAACCATCACTCCTTCAACAAAGGAAAATCCTGGTTTACAAGCTTAGAGAACACCACTGCGCCAGGTCGACTACACATTTTTGACGAGTGCAAGCTTGAATGTGTCAAAGCGCAACGCTTTGACACATGAGCCGAGCCGAGCAACAGAGCCGAGCCAAGCAACAAAGTTATGAAAAATAAAGTGTTAATAGACTGACATCACAATTTAAAAACAACTGCTTCTAATCTGTGGCACTCAAGCTTTTATGGGAATCGTCAGGAGTACGGCGTGGACGAAGACAGGGACGCTAGATAATTTCATCTTTTTTCCCTGTGAAAATTTAACCAGTGAAGTTACGTTACTTCAAATTTATAAATTTCTTCTATCTTATAAAAGTGGAAGTTCTTGCACTAGTACCAGATTTAGCTTATAGTACATAAAGTAGAAATACATTAAAGTACATGATACGTGGTCCATCAAACTGCAAACAATTACCCTATAATTGTCAGTGCTGTAATTTATGATTTACAAACAATTTTATTTATACAACGTATACACGAACAAAGGAAGATACATAGCAAGACAAGTACAATGAACAAGCTATTAACACGCAGCGAGTTTCGAGAATAAAGTAATAGGCTGTTTTAAGGGCTTGACGAAGTAGACAGTAGTACTGTACTAACAAGTATGCTAACATTTGTCAAAACACTGCAAATGACAGCCTTTATTAAGGGCATTTAGCTATAATGAGCATTGCCATAACACTAACAGTACAGTACGATCAGTGGATGTGTACACATCAATGGATATGTACGGGGTGCACAAACTAACCACCTACTACCAGTCAGGCTGGTTCCAGTTTCAGCTCAGTCTTAGATTTTCCATACGGTAAAATAAATAAATAAAACATTAAATTCACATTACGTATAATTATATAGAATTTTCTGTATACAAGGACTAGTTTTGTTAAATTACTCGGGATTCCGCTTTCAATTACTATTTTTATTTCAAATAATCCTCGTTCAAGCCAAAGCTACCCAAGACGATCGAGTATTTAGTTTTGTAATCAAAATCTATTCAAATTAAAATCGTGTTCAGGTTATAACCTAATGGCAAGGTCTGGGAATTGGTTGGAGGAATGTTCTAATTGGCAATTCCTGTCATTATAGAATGAACGAAGCATTTAGAGGGCAAGAATGTGTTACAAAATTGATATCTTCAAAGCATATTTCATAGACACGGCTATTTTAATTCAATCTTTATAAAAGTCATAAATTTCAGTATCTTGCCTGTAACTTTGGAATCTTGACTCTGGTATGGACAGAAAATGTCCAATAAGAAATTGGCGAGTGTAACGTTATGAAAACACTTCACTTAGCAATACTCTTGGTTCATTGTATGTAAACTTAATGATTCAAGAAATCATTTTCTCCTATTTGTAAACTAATATTGGCACCCAATTCACTTAGTTTTATCGAAAACCAACTTTCAAAAGGACCGAGATTACATTAAACGTTTGTCGCGACTGTTTACAATATTAACATTTACCGGCAGCAAGTTATTGTAAACAAAGTTTACAATTTATTTATTAATAACAATTAACCTGTAAAATCGTGTGTTTTGCAGAATTCTAAAGGACAACCCTAAAATGTTAATTTCTCCCAACAACGTTATAACTTCAATAGGGTCAAACTCTCTTTGCGAAAATTCACTTTCGCAAACAGAGTGGTGGACGGTTGGAACAAGTTAGGCGAGGTGGTGGTGGATGCCAAGACCGTCAGTAGTTTCAAAGCGTTATATGACAGAGTGCTGGGAAGACGGGACACCACGAGCGTAGCTCTCATCCTGTAACTACACTTAGGTAATTACACACAGTATCCAAGCAAGGACATATACGTAAAGAAATTCGATCCATTCCGAGTTATACTTGACCACAAACTGAAGTGCTTACCGATCAAACTATTCGTAATTTACCAAGGACAAATCTTTTAACCTTTAATCTCAACTGGCGTAAATCATCTTTCTAAGTGTTCGACTTTTAAACCTTATGAAAGGAATACCCAAAGGCATCTTAAGTCACTATCTGTGAACCGAAGGTATTTGTTACCTTAAACGGTCTTTCAGACAAGAAGCCGTCCCGTCCACATCTCGGCGACCTTATTGTAATGACCCACCCTGAGTGATTCCGTCCTCTGCCTCTGGGGGGCGTGGACGTCGGGCTCTGGCTGCCAGTAGCTGTTTGTCGCTGACTGGTGGTGGTTGCTCGTTGCTGTGGGGCGCCAGCTGACTGAGGCGGAGGTCAGCAATATGGCGGCGGCTGGTGGTGGCCGCATCCGCCGTGTGAATACTGCTCGGCTGGAGTTCTCTGCACCGGTGGATTGGGAACTAGTGGCGGCTGCGCTTTTGGATGTCCTTCAGGTGGATGTTAAAGATCTCCTTGGTCTCGAGAAATTTTCTCCCACTCGCGTGGCGGTGACGTTTGCCACGTCACCTGGATACGAGCGGTTTGTGGGGTGTTGGAACGAGCGGACGACTCCCCTTCCTCATTCGGCTGTGTCTGTGACTGTCTCTGATCCGTGGGGTCCACTGACCTTTGTGAGCGTGCACGGGGTACCTGTTACGTTTCCAGAGGTGGAGCTTTCTTCTGTGTTTACGAGGTATGGTATGGTGTTGCGTCATCGGTACAACTTGTTTAGTGCCGGGCGGCTGCGGGGCCTCCGGCTGGGTACTCGCACGCTGCATATGCGCCTCAAGGAGCCCATCCCCTCCAAGGTTATGTGCTGTGGTCTTCCGTTCCGGGTTTTCTATCCAGGGCAGGCCCGCACGTGCTTCCGCTGTGGGGAGGAGGGCCATGACGCTGCCCAGTGTGAGATTCCTCGAATGGAGACTGCTTCTGTATTCAGTGTGGGGGATTTTCCCCCCCTCCGTGAGGATGGTGCATCCCTGGCTGGTCCTCGGCGTGGGGGTGTGAATGGTGGGGCACCTGTGACTGTTGTGCCTGGTGGTGAACCTGCGACTGTTGTGCCTGGTGGTGCACCTGCGACTGGTGTGCCTGGTGGTGCACCTGCGTCTGGTGTGCCTGGTGGTGCACCTGCGACTGGTGTGCCTGGTGGTGCACCTGCGACTGTTGTGCCTGGTGGTGCACCTGCGACTGTTGTGCCTGGTGGTGCACCTGCGACTGCTGTGCCTGGTGGTGCACCTGCGACTGCTGTGCCTGGTGGTGCACCTGCGACTGCTGTGCCTGGTGGTGCACCTGCGACTGCTGTGCCTGGTGGTGCACCTGCGTCTGCTGTGCCTGGTGGTGCACCTGCGACTGCTGTACCTGGTGGTGCACCTGCGCCTGCTGTGCCTGGTGGTGCACCTGCGACTGCTGTGCCTGGTGGTGCACCTGCGACTGCTGTGCCTGGTGGTGCACCTGCGACTGCTGTGCCTGGTGGTGCACCTGCGACTGCTGTGCCTGGTGGTGCACCTGCGACTGTTGTGCCTGGTGGTGCACCTGCGACTGCTGTGCCTGCTGGTTCGTCTGTGCCTATCGTGTCTTCTGTGCCAGCTGTGGTGGAGGACGTGGCTGCTCCTGATTCCCGTCTTCTCCTTCCGGTGGATGTGGAGGTGCATCCTGTTCCTGGTGCTGCGTTGGTGAATGGGCGAGGTGTTGGGGTGTCGTCTCGGTGCCTCCCGTTGTAGGCGATGCTTTCACTGAGGGTGATGGGAGCGTCGTCGTTGGTGCCGGCGTTCCTGTTGCATGCATTGCGAGTCCGCCTTCTGCTCCCCCTGCGGGTGCGTGCTATGAGGGGGCGTTGACCTCCCATGCTCCTCGCCGGAAGCGCGTTGCGGGGGCGCGCTCACGCAGTCGAGAGCCCCCTGGCAAACGGATTGAGGCTTCGCGGAGTTGTGCCTTGGGTGGTGCCCCCCCTCCTCCTCCTAATTCTCCTGTGTCTGATATGGATTCCGGAAGTGATGCAGTGCCGGTTGGCAGCAAGAATTCCTCGTCGGTGGTGGACGTTGGTGATACCTGGTCAGTGGCAGCGGGGTCTCGGCGTGCTTCGCTGGGTGATGCCGGCACTGTCCGCCTCCTGCGGGATCTGAGGCCAGGCGTTATGGTGGATTCCCCGGCGGTGGAACGGCGGCAGTTTGAGCCTCAGGATGCTGACGGCGCCTCAGCAGGGGGTGGCTCTGTGCCCTCTGGTGGTCCTGGAGGGGCTGGGGGTCATTAATGGGTTCGATGGCGCCTGCTATTGTTTGTGCGTCTTTGAATGTTCGTGGTCTGAATGCTTTGGCGGTCCAATTGGGCCTTGTGGATGTGCTTCGGGAGCAGCGGGTGGATGTGGCTCTGATCCAAGAGCACAATGTTCGGGATGTGTCTGTGTTGCAGGGGTTGTGTGCTGAGTATCATGTTGTGCTGAACCCGCCGAGGACGTCCTTTGGGGGAACGCTGATGTTGTTTTCGCGGAGGGCATCCATTTCCGTGCTTCACACGGAAATGGATGAAGATGGGCGGGTCTTGTTTGTTCGGGCTGAGTATTTGGGGGTTGTGATTCCGTTCTTGACAGTGTACGCCCCTTCTGGGGTGGCGCATCGTCAGGACCGGGAGCTGTTTTTTCGGGAGGGGCTTTTGCCATACCTGCGGCATGATACGCGGGATTTGATCTTTGGGGGGGATTTTAATTGTGTTACGTGTGTGAGGGATTGCTCTAGTGCTCACCCTCGGAATGTTTCGGCCGCTTTAATTGAGGTTTTGCGTGCGTGCGGGTTTCGCGATGCGGCTGTTTTGTGTGGCGGCTCGTTGGAGTATACCTTCGCTGCGCGTGGGGCGAGTTCTAGGTTGGATAGGTTCTATGTTTCTGGTGGGGAGTGTTCGGTTTTTTATTTTCGCACGGTCCCGGTGGCTTTCTCGGATCATTGTATGGTGGTTGTACGGGTTGGTGTCC